GTCATAGGAAAATAAAAATTCTTGGAGGCAGAGAAAAATAAGAATCCTTGGTGTCATAGGAAGATAAGAATCCTTGGAGGTTTGAAATTTGTTAATGATGCTACATTATAGGACAGGAATAAAAAGAACAAAGTGAGTAATAATTACAAATATGAAATGTGAAAAAAATCTAGTTTGGACGCAAATGGCTTGAATGTAGTGGTATAAAGATAAAAGCAAGATATATTAGCGAAAAGACGGAAAGCATTGTGGATGCGAATGAAAAGGTGAAGCAGTACAGATAAAAGCAAAGAAGTTCTATAAAGAAATCGATGGAGTGACAAGCAGTTTTCTTTTTTTTGTGTGTTGTATGCAATCATGACGTAGGAGATCATTACTCTCCACAACTTCCTGTCCTTTGTAACTCTTAATAATTTTTATCTTTTTGTTATCTCTCCTAAACGCTGTTCCGTCATTCATTTACTCAAGCTCACTAAGTATGTTATGCGTTGTTTTCCTTTGTCCCTTTTGCCTTCTGTCCCTGTGAGTATCAAATTTTCCAGCCCCTCTTTTCTCATTATGTGCCCTAGAAATATTGATTGATGTATCCATCCTGATGTATCCTTGGAATGTTATAAAAATAAGAATCCTTGCAGGCATAGAAAAATAAGAAGTATAAATTTCCTTTTTGTTTCCGTTTTCTCACATATTCTGTTCTTCTGTAGAACTACATTTCTGTTGCTTCAAGTCTCTTCTTCATCTTTGGGGATTGTCTAGCATTCACTGCCACATCGGAGGACTGATATCACTTAGTAATTCAGTACTCTTTTCTTTGTTTCTAAGTTGTTTTTTTCTGTTCAGAGAACGGAAAGTGCGACACTGAAATCCGAAGGCGAAGACGGCAGTATGGCGCAAAATATGGCGGGAACGAAGAGGCCCATTTAATGATGATGCTGAGTGCCTTAGAAATTTGAATTAATTCTTGCAAACAATAAGCGGAAGTTCGAATTACTGAAGAAAACCGGTGAAAGATCAGCAGAAAAATGAATAAAAACAACTGGGCCGATGGGTGCAAGGACACTGGATAAAGACATTACCTGAAGTGGAACAACTACATTGAATCTATAGCTTCATCTACCGCAAGGAAAGTTGGTTCTCTGTATCGCGCCAGGTTTTTTTTCTCGCCTGAGTCCATCCTTCACATCTATAAATCAACCATTCGTCCTTGCATGGAATACTGCTGACGTATATGGTCTGGTGCTCCCGCTGTTCACCTCGAGGTCCTCGACAAAATCCAGAGACGGATAAACAACATGGCTGGTCCTGATCTGACATCCCGTCGACAGTCGCTATCTCACAGACGTTCTGTGGATTCCCTCTGTCTTTTCTACAAGTACTTTCATGGCAATTGCTCCGACAAGCTACTTTCGCTGCATGAATTTAAGCGTGCTACTAAGTTGGCATTTCGGTCCCACCCTTTCACTGTCGAACCGATTAAATGTAGCTATCTCTTCTACTCGCACCTCCCGTCAGTGGAACTCCCTTCCTATCACTTGCTTCCCTGATAGCTATAATGTTCAAATATTCAAATGTAATGTCAAGCGATATCTTCTGATGCCTTGACATTGATCCTTGTCCTTCTCTTTATCCTTTTCCCAAGCACTCATCTTTACTCTTACTTTCACTCTCTAACCCCTTGCGTGCTAGTGGTACGCCCGCCTTGCTATGGGTGATTTGCTTAAAAGAAAACAAACAAACAAAAAAACATGCTGCCATAAATTAATGACAGAACTACTGGTATAAGAATCGTGTGCTTGTAAGGTGTTTCCAAAGAAAATGATGGAGATAACTACCGGAAAAATCTAAGAGTAAATGGTCCCCAGGCATAATACTTTATGAAATATACAGTCCTTGATAAGTATATCTTGCCTGTGGAACCGAAACATTGTAAAAGAAAATGTGTAATCAAGGACCAATTACGCATTGACAATCAATCCTGAATATGACGATAATTTATCTCCGGCAGCAAGGTCTCTGATCTTTATTTTATTATCATGGAGTCTTAATCCTAATATCTGTCCTTTTCTAATTAGATACTCCTATATGATCTTTATATCTATGCTAGGTCTACTGATTTCATTATTTGATTATAGAACATGCTTCAGCCTATTCAGTCAGCTTATTCTTTAAAGTTCTTCCATGTCTGATAGTGTTCCTCTATTACATGGTGTAGAAAGTATTTCCATAGACAGTCCTGGGTATGACGATAAACTACACCCGGCAACAAGTCCTCTGATCGAGAGATTGAAGGTTTTGAGGAACCTGGAATAATTTCTCATTTGCTACTGTTCCCAGGTCCTCCCTGACCCGGGGTGGTAGCACCTGCTAGAGTCCCAGCTATGGGTAAATAGGAAACCCCCAAACAAACAAACAAACAAACAAACAAACAAACAAACACTATGAAAGTATAAAAATACATTCTTATAGTAAAATACTAACAATATATTTTTACATAAAAAATGACATTTATAAAAAATACATTTTATTTGTCGTTGAAGGCATGCAATTTCGTTCAAAATGTATTTAGTTGAAGTCATAAAAGTGTTACGAAATATTTAGATTTCAGCATCAAATACTCATAGAAGTGTTGATATGCCTCTAAACAAAATCAACCAATCAATCAGCTCATTGACATAATGATAATGAAAGATTGTAAAAGACAAAAGACTATATTAGGGATGGCATAGATAGAGTACCACAAGGTGTATAAAATGATACCACATTCGTGATCAATGAATGCTTCAATTTTTTTTTGTTTTTTGGTGGATGTGACCTAAAACGTTGGCAGTGTTTTGAGCGGAAACATAAGAAGCGGGAAAACTGCGTTAACATCATATGGGTAGAGTCTGGGAATGTTAAGGATTAAGAGAGCGATATTTCAAGGATATAGATTATCCTCCATGTTGTTTGTTCAATGAATGATTCCATTGACATTAATTCTTCGGAATGCGAAAGCTGGTTTTGATTCGAAAGGAAGACAGCAGAGAATCAACCATCTATTAATTATGGGTGATCTAAAGCTATACGTTAAGGATGAAGCCCAGATCAGTTCATTGATTGACACAGTTCATTGCTTCAGTTAGAACATAAGAATGGAATTTGGTCTAAAAAATGTAGGGTTTTGGTTTTAAAAAAGGGAAAAATGCATGACCTGGAAGGGCAATCAATGAAATGAATCGGTAGAGATATCTTGAGATTTTTGATACATGAAGGTGAAATTGAAAACGGCCTTCACACAGGAAGATATTTGAAAACTTAGGCTTCTTCTACGAGCAAACCTGAAGAAGATTCATATATATGGGCAATTGCATAGTTGAGATATGGTGCAGGGATACTTTATATGGCAGAAAGAGGGATTGCAGATCCTGAACAGGAGGGAAAGAAAATTGCTGACATGATTGCAGGTTTGCATAAAATGGGATAATAACCGACTGTATTTGTCAAGAAGAAAAGTGTGTAAAGGACCGATAACATTTGAAGATCATGTGAGAAAAATAGTCTTGGAGAGTGCATGAACCTTTCAACAGAACCTTTCTTAAACTAGATGAAGAACTATATTATACTCAATACTGAGTATTGCAAGTAAAAGGAGGAACAAAAAAAATAAAATAAAATAAAATTACGAGATCAAACCTGAATGGCAGGGACAATATTCAGGCGATTAATACGTGGACAGTCGCATTTTTTAGATATAGTGCAGGCATATACATAACTCGTAGATGAAGGAACTGCAAGCGCGTATGAGAAATTTTGCTGACAATATATGAAGTACATTTTTATCGTTTCATCCCAAACAAGGCAATAAAGCCACTAAGATGCAAGGCGTTACTGAGTGTTAGAGAATATGAGAAGTAAACAAAAACTATTAAAGAGAAAGAACAACAAAAGAACAGGAATTAAGAAGACAAAAGTTAACGATTGACATTGTATTTAAAGAGAGTTCCATAAGTTAATTCCAGAAGAACCAGAGAGTTCCATAAATTCACCTCGGAAGAACAATAAAAGAACAGGAATTAAGAAAACAGAAGATAACGATTGACATTGCATTTAAGTTTTTAAAGAACAAAGTTGACCGGGAACCAAGAAGCTGGAAGTGAGTTCCACAAGCGAGAAGTGCGAGAGAAGAAACTGTTAGCATTGAACTTTTTTCTGCCTTTTGGATATCTACTTTCATTTTAGTTGTTCTTTCCTCTATCATACCTAGACATTACGAATTTAAGCGCAGTACTAGATTGGCGGCAAGGTCTCATCATTTTGCAGTCAAAATAACTAGATGTAACCGGAAGTTCTATGCTAAATATTCTTTTCTCGCTTGTGGAACTATCCTCCGAATTCTTGGTTCCGGGTCAATGTTGATCTTCAAAAACTTAATTTCAGTGTCAATCGTTATCGTCTGCTTTCTTAATTCCAGTCCTTTTATCGTTCTCCCTTCTTACTAATGTTTTATTTTTTTCGTCAAACCCCCAACCATAACCCCTTGCGTCTTAGTGGTTTTATTGCTTCGTAAGGTGATTAAAGAAATTTTTAGAACCTCATTTGAACAGCAGATATGTTACAATTGCTATCAATTGCAGAGATGTCTCGATTATAAGACATAGTGATGGAACTACTGGATAGATTAAAAAAGAAATGAAGAATCTGGATAGGAAAACAAGAAAGTTAATGACAGTATATGGGGTGTTCTATAAAAAAGGCGATGTTGATAGGTTATATTTAAAGAGAGCGGTTGTTGGGTATGGATGGATCAGTGAAGAAAATTGTGCTTCGATTGAAAAGAACTGCCTGTTTGCTTATTTTTCAGAGGGTGGCTTAAGGGGGAAAGAATTTTGATACTGGAAAAGCAAAGGAAAACATACTGAAAAGCATAAAAGAAAACTTGGAAAAAGAACTACATATAACATTCCTCAAAATCAACGGGTTTAGCGACAAACAGATCCAGGGATTGACTGAGAAAATGAGATTTAAAGAAAGCCACAAAGAACGTTATAATGGCAGCTATTTGAACAAGGTCGATTAAACACTACATCAACAAAGAATATTTTTCCTTTGTGCAGACTTGATAGAGAGAGAGGCGGGGAGAGGGAAAGAGAGAAAGAAAGAGCAAAAGAAAGAGAGAGAAAGAGAAAAAGAGAGCGAGTGCGAGAGAGAGTGAGAAAGAGAACGATAGAGAGAGAGTGAGCGAGAGAGGAATCGGTAGCCCGTTTTATATCAAAGTGTAACAACTTCGCACAAACACAGTACAAATTGTGTCGATACGACAATATTGCCCAAATTGTCAAGGTCATAAAATTAATGAACTTGAACACACAGAAAAGCATAAAGCACTAAAAGTAATGGCAAACGAAAAAAAAAATGCCTTTGGGTCATGTAAATACAAATACATAAGATAATGGAATATTCTAAAACAGATATAATTTTTCAGAAGTACATCGTGCAGGGTTATTGACGTAGAGTGTGTTTTTGAGATTCGGGTTGTTGAAGAAGAGGAGAAAACATGGACATTTATCAGGAGCTGAAATGAGAATTGAAGAGAATTTGGAATTGTAATGAGGTGACTGTAACCTCCAGCTATGGAGTCTTCAGGTAATATCTTTAAAGAGTTTCATATGTGAATTCATAAAATCAGTTTAAACTACTACTTCAAACTATGTTATGTGCTGAACATCTGAGGTGGCATGTTGTTATTTGATGTTCAACTGAACAGAACTGATTGTTTTATATCTTTGAAGCCTAAATGAAAGGGAATACTACTACTACTACTACTATTAATAATAATAATAATAATAATAATAATAATAAGCGAAGGAGATGAAATACCCAAATGAAAGAGGAGGTAAGAAAGGAGTACTACAGGCGTGTGCGTCTGGTACTAAATACCGAGCTGAATTCAAAAAGCAGAATATTAGCCATAAACAGCTTCGTTGTGGCCGTGGTGCAAATACAGTTTTAATATCCTTAACTGGATCATAGCTCAAATTAAGTGAATGGACACCCAAACGAGAAAGCTTCTCACTTGGCACGGCATGCATCATCCCAAAGCTGATGTTGATCGTCTAGATGTGCCCAGATCCGAAAGAAGTAGAGGATTAGTTCAACTAGCTTCTAGCTATTGGTAAATAGTATGACAGACCGGATTCTTTAGCCTTGGATGGCAACTGGTCTACTGCAGAAAGAAATGGCAACCTACTGCGGGAAAAAAATATGCCTCGTCAGTCATTGAGTGAGTCACTTTTGAACAGACTGCTCGGTTTGAACTCTCTTCCTACGGGCGGGAGGAACCCGAAGGAGGCTACGCCGAAGGGCGGAGTCTCCTTCGGGGAGGTAAAACCGGCCCTGAACCCGTTTATACGGGTTCAAATGGGCTATTTTTTGGCCGAGCCTAATGGCTCGGGAATGCCCACGTTAAAAAGGCCTTGTGCCACATGACACCCTCGTGGGGGGGGGTGACTCAATATCGTCAGTCATGTATCGAAAGATACATGATCGCCTAAGCGTGAATCACGCATGGCACATAACTGACTGACTCCGAGAGTAATCATAGGAGATACATCGCTGCCATAATCTGCGTAGAGAGAAAAAAAAAAAAACAATTTAGTAGAAGTGAAGCAGAGATTCAAATATTTCACCCCTCAAAATTCATTTTCAATGACTAATTCATTTTTCAAAATTTATAATATAATATATATATATATATATATATATATATATATATATATATATATATATATATAAAACTGCCATGAAAAGACAAAATTTATATTTATTACCACTAAGCGGCAAGGATTGAGGAATCGGAAAGCCGAGTTCGAATTCCAGTCGAATCCATTGCATTAACTTACGTGCTAATACCCTTGGGTAAGGTATGAATCCTCGTCTTCTCACCCTAGCTATGGGTAAATAGCAGGACAAACCGGGTTCTATAACAACTATAGCAACTGGTCTACCCCAGAAAGAAACTGCGGGGAAAAAATCTACCTCGTCAGTCATATTTCGAAAGATACATGATCGCCAAAAAGTGTATCACGTATGGCACATAACCGACTGACCCGTGTACCGTACTAAGCTATTAATCTAAAGACAATGATTAGTAAGCTAATTTCACTAACTGTTGCTTTTTTTATACTAATTTATATTATCACTGAATATCCCATACTTATGGGCGTATTTCGTACCAAGCTAAAATTTGTATGAAGGTTTTAAAAGATCTCCGTCCGATTTACTTTCTCAAATCTGATCAGCTATCACAATTTTTGAAAAATCGACTCCTGATCGGAGTAAGAACTTTTCAGCACCCACTCGTAAATATCCATAACTGGGATTAAAGTTCAAATTAACATAATAGGAATGGCTCAATATTAACGAAATTTTATATGGGCGTTATTTTTCTTTATTTTTTTTTTTTCTTTAGGCAAATGATATCACTTCATTCTTTCTGGAGATATTGTTCTACTGAAGGTCATTTTGACATTGCCATTTTTCTCTCGTGTAATATTCTGAGAGATTGATAGACAGATGGATACGAAAATACTGAGACAGATAACTTGGTAGATATGAAAAATTAAATTAGATAGATAGATAGATAGATAGATAGATAGATAGATAGATAGATAGATAGATAGATAGATATGAAGAAACTAGGACAGTTAATTAGATTTGAAAATCCTGAGATAGTTAACTCGGTATAAAAAAAGCTCATATATATATATATATATATATATATATATATATATATATATATAATATATATGAAATGGACAAAGTCCGACAGTTATTTAAGACATTTTTGATGTTCATAAGTTCTTTTATAGATACAAATATTTAAGCAAATGTCTGTTTATAATAAACAGTATTAACAACATTTACCAGCCTGAATGTTGTTAATACTGTTTATTAAAACAAACATTTACTAAATATTTTGTATCTATAAAAGAAAATAAACATAAAAAAATAAACGGTTAAATAATTGTCGGACTTAAAATAATTGTCATTTGTTTACATTTGGATACGCATTGAGCAGATATGAATGAGAGAAAATCATGGAGAATTGTGTTTAAAAACAGTAAAATCGACCTTGCTAACTGAACGCCTCTCTGTGGCACAGTCGGTTAAGGTACGTCAGGCTATATGACGATTCTATATAGGGTACAGGTTCGATTCCTGTCGGAGGATGCATATTTTCTATGAAAGTTTTTCAGACATTCAGGCCGGTAAATGTTGTTAATACTGTTTATTATAAACAGGGCATTTACTTAAATATTTGTATCTATAAAAAAAAAACGTATAAATATAAAAAAATGTCATATATATATAAAAGCTTTTTACCCTGTTTCCCTAGCCAAACCGATCAACAGGCTTCACTACTGGATCTATTTATTAGTTCCTCTCCTCGCTCATGCTGAGCTTTGCAATACTGCCTTCTTGGTAACTCGGACTACTCTGTGGTAACTATTGATATCTCTTTCCAAGTATCCGTTAAACAGGAACTACCTATCCATTTCCGTTACCAGCACGCTGATTGAGATTCATTCCGGGATTTTCTTCGTGACGCCCCTTGGACCGACATCTTCAACCTCCCAATTGAAAATTGCGTCACTGAGGTTTCTTCCTGGGCCGAAACCAGCATGGACGCTTTCTTCCCTTTTCAGAAAAACCAGGTGAAACCGCAATACTCTCCATAGTTCAATCCAGTATGCTCGACCGCCATAGCACACAGGAACCACTATTTCCGGCGATAACAGCATGACAGCTCTCGTCATAACAGGTGCCTATTTGCTTCTGCTTGTAACAAACGTAAGCGAGCCCTCGAAGGAGCTAAGTCCTTATTTGCTGAGAGAATGAGGCAACGCACAGCCACTAAAAACTTTGGTTCTCGTGATTACTGGCGTCTCTGTAACGGGGTACTAAATAAGTGCAAGGGACATTTAAATTCATATATAATGTGGGTTTTCCGCAACACGTTAATTGGTGGGTAGGAGTCATTACGAATCATTAAATTGGATATATTGAATCTAGTATAGTATATAATTAATCATATTTTATAGCGATTTTCTAGTATATAATTAATCATATTTTCGAACTATTTCAGTCGTAATTTTCTGGCGAGATATTGCTAACCATTACACCGTATTTATTTTTATATTAGGTTTCTTTTTTTTTATTGGGGTTTTTTTTTTTTTAGGATATTTTCATCCTGTTTGTAATAAGAATGTATTTGGTTGCAACGTAAAAGATTAAAATAATTTACATTATTCGGACTATTGTCCTCATCTTTGTCGCCATATTTATTACAACCGGACACATGGCACAGTGGATAAAGACGTTGGTTAGATCCAGTGACAGGACCCAAAGAGTTTGAGTTTAATACACGATTAAGTCAGTGGAGAACTTTCAGAGGCTAAATAAACAAATAACTGATAACTGACATCCATTGAAACATGGTACGTGGAACTAGAACAGTCTAACCTAATGAGCGAAATAAAGGGTTCAGTTCGATATTCCAACTACCTGAAAAAGGCCGGAGCGTACAACAGCCGAAACGTTGTAATAAATATAGCGGCAAAGATGAGGACAATAGTCCGAATAATGTAAATAATGTACATAATATCTCATCTCAGAAATATAGACAGATACTGAAAAGATTAACATGTTTAGGATTATTTGAAGAAGTATTATATTCCATTTGCTTCATATTAAAATTTCTAATAGAACGACTTATTTGTTCATCAACAATATAATTAGGGAAGTTATTATTAATAAGAATTTGTTTTATATATTTTTAGTTCACTGTAGAAAATCTATTTTTGGATGAGTTAATATTTGCACGGTTTATTAGATTTTTTTTTTATAATTGCTATTTTATAGTAATTTAGACATTCACCCTTATAGTTAAGGGTGCACGAATTTATCCTTGTAGTTTTTTTATATGAGGAAATAGTGAATTTATCATTATTAGTGTTTATCAATATATCTAGAAAGGAATTTTATTACCATTATTAAGTTCGTGTGTAAATCTAAGGACAACATTATTTTGGAATTGTTTTGGAGTTGATATATTTCATCCATCTTTTTGACTAAGGTAAGGATATCATCGACATATCTTAGATAGATGGAGGATTTTTTTAATTTAATAAATATATTATTTTCAAGACTAGACATAAAGAAATTACTAAAAGTTGGGCCCAGAATTGAACCCATAGAAACACCATCCCGTTGTATATAAATATTATTATTGAGATCGTAGAATGGAACTTCAGTGGTGCAAGTTGCCGTAATATACTAGGTCTAATTTTAAGTGGAGGTATAGATGGGTTATTGTATTTGTTTCTTATAATAATATCGATAGTTTCACTAACAGAGATATTAGTGAATAAATTTCCAATGTCAAGTGAGGCTATGGTCTCATTAGGTTTTTCTTTTTTAGAATTTGAATTCTTTTAAGAGTTGATTTTATGCTATATCTACTGGGAATGTATGGTGTGATGAATTGGTTTATGATTTTTGTTAATTGATACACAGGAGTGGGAATTTGAGATATAACAGGACGGAGAGAATAGTTTTGCTTGTGTGTTTTTATAGTGCCATATATGTAACCTGGACTATAATCCGCCATTATATCAGTCAGTTTTAAACTGTTTTGTTAAGCATTATTAGTTGTGATATGTTTGTCAATTTTTAATTTCAGTTGTTTAGTAGGATTCGTGTTGATTTTTTTAAAATTCGTATGGTTAAGTATTTATTGTAGTTTTGTATTATAATCCGATTTGTTCAAAACCAAGATGTTTGTTTTGTCTACTTTTTTAACGATTATAACAGGATGATTACGTAGTTCATTGGCGGCAATGTGTAATTGTTTTGTTAATATATTTCAAAGTTTTTTTTACTTTTGCCATGTCTATCCTTGACTGCTTCAGCCTCGAGTAAGTCCCCAAAATACCGGTGTTGTCGTGATCAATTGTTTTTGCTGAAGTTTTTCGCTACTTTGATATAACATCTCAATTTGATTTTTTAATTAGACCATTATAATTACGTATAAATAGCAGTTGGGTCACAGGTTAAGCAATTATCTTTGATGTTTAGATAACTCATAGTTGAAAATATTAATAAGTTTATCCATTTTGTTTGGAAGATTGACAGAATATTTGTATAGTGTATCTAGTTTTTTTTATTTTATTTTCAAACCAAACACATATTATATTTTATATGCGCGGTACTTAGTGGAAAGCGCTCGATATCAGTGATTGAGCTAACATAATGTTGTATGGATATGAGTTTGTGATCCTGGGTTTCACACTTTTGCGATCATCAGACAAACTCATATTCATACAACTTATTATATATATATATATATATATATATATATATATATATATCACTAAGGTTTTCCAAGTCTGGTACAAGCACAAAAATGGGTGCCTGATGAGGATCAAAAATACTAATATTAATTTGTAAATCTAGCGATTTAACCTTTCTCTAGAACAAGCAACCTCACACACCCTCTCTTGCGCGCACACACACATACATGTGCGCACACACACATATTCCTTCTCTCTCGCCTAACGTATCTATAGATGAAATTATGCTTAAATTTACTTTACATATCTATAAGTCTACCATTCGTCCATGCTTAGAATATTGCTGCCAGATATGGTCCGGTGCCTTTGCTATTTACCTGGAGCTCTTGATAAAATTATAAGAATGTTATTATTATTATAAATATTATAGAAAATAAAATAATAATAAAATATAATAGTACTGAAAATTATAAATAAAATGAAAAAAAAAAAAAAATAACATAAAAACATTTTATAAAATAAATTAAATAAATAATAAAAAAATACTCCCAGCACGCAACAAAAACTGTTCTTGTCGGAAATACAGGCATCCCGTCAAAAGACGCTAAATTCTATCTCTTCACTACAAACCTTAGTACGGGCAACACGTGTCCAACTTCTCTCTGTGATATGACTTGTAATACTACGGTGTAATTTCTCCCTTTTATCGCATCTACCTTAAAAGTATTGTAACCTAAAAAATATACACACCAATACACACGAAAAATATAGATAAACTGTATGAAATTTGCATACAATTTACCATGCTTTTTCTGTTATTTGTGTACGTTTTACTTTCTGTCATGTATGCTTTCATATCAGTGAACACGAAGCTAATTTCTGCTGCTCCGATGTGAATGAATACCTCACAAAATCCAACGAAGAATCAGCAATATTATTGGTTCTGATCTGGCCGCTCGGCTCCAGTCACTTTCACAGCGCCGTAAGGTTGCATCTCTGTCTTAGCTTTAGTGCCTAGATATCTTTTTTAATTTAAATGCAGTATTAGACTGGTGGCGAGATCTCACCAATTTACATTTTACGAGCTGGCTTTAAGTTCTATGCTAACAGTTTCTTTTCTTGAACTTCTCGCTTGTGGAACTCACTTCTGGCTCCATGCTTTCCAGCCAACTTTAATCTGCAAAAATTTAAATGCAATACCTATCGCTATCTACTCTCCTCCTGATTACGCTTTCCTCTTCCTGCTCATTATTAATGTTTCTGTTCCTAATTCTTCCACACCCTGTAACGCCTTGTGTCTTAGTGGCTTTACTGCCTTACATGGGGTGATAGCGAATAAAAAAGTATATTTTCTATGAACGAAGGACCTTATTTTCTTTCACATATCTTAAAAAATGAAAAAAAGGATTGGATATAAATTACGGCTACTGATCGCTAGTGTCGTTTCTGGATAATGTACCTATTTGTATATTTATGTGCGTGGATATGCATGTTCAAATATGCACACGTGTGTATATGTTTGTATGTTCTTAGTTATATCTGAGTGCTATTTAATGAACAAAACCACTTTGTATAATAATGTCTGTTATAGATTTTATTTATTTATTCTGTTTGCGAGAGGAGATCAATACAAGAAAATAACAAATTCTCGACTGTGCCGCATTAATTATCTCTACAAATTGCATTGTCATTCCTCCGGGTATAAAAAAAAAAAAAAAAAAAAAAAAACGAAAAAAAAAATCAGAAGAAAACAAAGAAATAATTGTTACATCCAGCCGTTGTTTGGCCTCGTCTAAATAAAGCTTAAAAATAACAAAAGATTAAAAAAAAATTTTCTTCTGGCTTCGTTGTTTACTATAACTCCATCTTTTATTGACTTTACCCCCCACAATCCGCGATGGACAGAAATAAATAGTACACACCATTCGAATATTTTGATACACACTTAAAAAAAACAACAAAACAAAAACATGTGTACACACATTACTACTTTCTACTAGGAAAGTTTCGTTAGAGAAACAAAGAAAAGAGTACTGAACTGTTATCAACACACACACACACACACACACACACACACACACACACATATATATATATATATATATATATATATATATATGTATATATTTTATAATTTAAATTGAGCACTATTTTGTAAAAAAAAAAAATATCAATAAGAACACCGGATTACATATCTTACTGTTCTTTCTTTTTTTAAATATATATATATATGAGACACACATATCACACGGTCAAAGATATATATATATATATATATATATATATATATATATATATATATATATATATATATATATATAACATATTCAGTTCACTTTATTTTTTTTAAAATCTAACGAAACTTTCCCATAAAAAAGTATAATATGTGTCCACATGTTTTTTTTAGTGCGTTTCAAAATATTCGAATGGTATGTATTATTTATTTCTCTATATCGCGGATATATATATATATATACATATATATATATATATATGTTAAGAAATGGACGAGGTCAATTCAATTTATTTATTAAAGACATTTTTATTTATGTTTAACGTTGTTATTTTATAGATACAAGTATTTAAGCAAATGCTCTGTTTATGATAAACAGTATTAAATAACATTTACCGGCCTGAATGTCCGAGAAATTTTCATAGAAAATATTCGTTCATAGACAGGATCCGAACCTGCATCCCATACGGAACCGTCATATACGCTGACGTGCCTTGACCACTCGGCCACCATGAACCTTATGGTAGACAAGGTCGAATTTACTGTTATAAACTACAATCTTCCATGAATCTCGTACATTCATAACTGCTCTGGCGTATCGATATGTAAACAAATGACGTCATATGTTAAGAAATAATGTAAAATAATGACGTCATATATTAATATATATGGACGAGGTCCGACAATTTATTTATTCGATACGTCTTTAATATATATATATATATATATATATATATTTGATAGCGAACGCCGAACAATTTACTTGCTTACGGTCACAACACCGCTTCCCGTACGATCACCGAAGTTAAGCAACGTCGAGCCTGGTCACTACCTAGATGGATATCCGCTTGGGAATATCAGGTACTGTAAACTTGGGTGTGCGAGTGGTGTAATTGGTAATGGCTCGGAATTGTTAATCGGAGAGCCAAGTTCCAATTCCAGTTGGCTTCATTATATTCACTAAGGTGCAAATACTCTTGAGAAACTCATGAATTCATTGATTTTGCCCCCAGCTATGGGTTAATTAGTAAGACTTGTATCTTTCTTTTTATGTACTATGTCCTCTCTGAGGAAGTTTGATAGAAAATCGGAACTAGAAAGAAGCTCAAAGTTACTATCAGAAAGATAAAGGGTATTGTTGAATAGCGAAAATTGCCTTCCAGATGCTAAGCAAAATATTCAAAAATAGGAAATTTTGGTTACACATATGCGCGCGCGCACACACACAAGTTATTTTCAGTAAACAAATAAAACTGTTTGAAATTCACGAACATGACTAAAACCAAAAACTCGTAGTAACTTGACGGAGTTATTCAGAAAGCTACTTAACTAATCGTGAAAGGCGCTTACGGCCACATAACGTTGAAACACCGGGTCCCGTACAGTCACCGAAGTTAAGCAACGTGGATGACCGCTTGCGAATACCAGCTGCTGTAAGTTTTGATATGCAGGTGGTGTAATGAATAAGAGTTTGGAATTGTTAATCGGAGAGCCGAGTTCCAATTTCGGTTGGGTCGGCGATATTCCCTTACCCGCAAATACTCTTGAGAAAGATATGAATCGACCTCTCCTCCCCTACTTATGAGTTAATTATTAAAACTTCTATCACGAAACAATTATCGCAAAAAAAAATTATTACACTTTAAAGGCATTTCTGGCTTTAAATAACCTACAAAGTATTAAGCCGTAGAAAACGAATCAATCATATCCTCCTATATGTCATGGAATGCTGGACAGTTTCCTAAGAAGAAGACGGTGGTTCTAGAGATGAACACAGAGAATAACATGGACTGAATATATATGTAACGAGGAAGTTTCTAGGAAAATGGAACTAAATGGACACTTAGAATCAGAAAGAGACAACTGAAATTTCTAGGACACATAATGAGAAAAATAGGTTTGAAAAATTTAACATTCAGAGGGCATTTTGATGGCAGAAGGGGTAACAGCAAGCAATCTATCTAATGTATTTAGGGGAATGGATGGCAAAGTAGGGAAAACTCGCTAGCAAAGAATCAAACGCTGCTTAGAGTTCCAAGGAATAAGAAGTGATGGAGAGCTATGATCGCTCATGTCCTGAAGGGAGATGGCATATAAAAGAATATCATGGCCAACAAATTCAATTATGCTTTTACGACATACACGTCTTAGTCTCAAACGAAAACACAGTTGTATATTCTTCGTAGTTCTCTCATAAAAGCTATCTAAGGCTGCTGCAAGCATTCAAGTAGAAGTCTTTTTTTGACGATATCATCTGGCAACACGTATCTTTTAATATATAATTAACGTCGCTCTGCTGGTGAACTTGACATCGTTGGTCGCCTGACGCCCTCACTACTATCAGAAGGTTTTCTTTTCTTCTTCGGCCTGGCTGGCTCTGCCTTCGGTCTCGCATTAACGTCGCTCTGCTGGTGGACTTGACATCGTTGGTCACCTGACGCCCTCACTACTATCAGAAGGAAGTGTTTCTTTTCTTCTTCGGCCTGGCTGGCTCTGCCCTTCGTCGCTCTGCTGGTGAACTTGCATCGTTGGTCGCCTGAATCAGTCGCTTCTGCTGGTGGACTTTTTTGTTCTCTTATTAACGTCGTTGGTGAACTTGACATCGTTGGTCGCCTGACGCCCTCACTACTATCAGAAGGAAGTGTTTCTTTTCTTCTTCGGCCTGGCTGACTCTACCTTTGTTCTCCTATTAACGTCGCTCTGCTGGTGAACTTGACATCGTTGGTCGCCTGACGCCCTCACTACTATCAGAAGGAAGTGTTTTATTTTCTTCTTCGGCCTGGCTGAAACGTCGCTCTGCTGGTTGGTCGCCATGACTTGACATCGTTTCTTCTTCGCCTGGCTGACTCTACCTTTTAACTCTTATTAACGTCCCTGCACTTGACATATCAGAATCAGAAGTGTTTCTTTTCTTCTTCGGCCTGGCTGACTCTACCTTTGTTCTCCTATTAACGTCGCTCTGCTGGTGAACTTGACATCGTTGGTCGCCTCTCACTATATCAAAGGAAGTGTTTCTTTTCTTCTTCAGCCTGGCTGACTCTACTCTGCTGGTGAACTTGACATCGTTGGTCGCCTACCGCCTTCATTGATAGCAGAAGGAAGTGTTTCTTTTCTTCTTCGGCCTGGCTGACTCTACCTTTGTTCTCTTATTAACGTCGCTCTGCTGGTGAACTTGACATCGTTGGTCGCCTGACGCCCTCACTACTATCAGAAGGAAGTGTTTCTTTTCTTCTTCGGCCTGGCTGACTCTACCTTTGTTCTCTTATTAACGTCGCTCTGCTGGTGAACTTGACATCGTTGGTCGCCTGACGCCCTCACTACTATCAGAAGGAAGTGTTTCTTTTCTTCTTGCTGACTCTGCCTTCGTTCTCGTATTAACGTGGCTTTAATAGTGAACCTGACATCGTTGTTCTCTTTCATTGAACGTCTCTTTTCTTCTTCGGCCTGGCTGACTCTCCCTTCGGTCTCCCATTACCCTGGTCCTACTGATGAACCTGTCATCGTTGGTCGCCTGCCGCCGTCACGGCTATCATTAAGAAAGATTTCGACGCAAATGGTAGTCTATCATTGCTGGAGCCGTTCAGCCAGGAATGTAGAGATTGCAAACGCCATAACAGCATAACCATCTTCCTATTTGTGAGGCTGATTCTATCTTTAGTCACCCATTAATATGGTCCTGCCACTGAAATTGATATCCCCGGTACCCAGTCGTCCTCACTGCTATCGTTTGCGGCTTTTTTGGTTCAGCTAGTCCTCCTGGAGCCGGTTGACCTGGAACAACGAGACAGTAAAATGCCCTGGCGGTATAAGACACTTCTTCCCATTCTCAAGGCGAAAATCAATTATTTTGTTTCTTACCTAAGGTGGCTTTCACAAATGGCTATCTGATTGCGTCGGTCACTTCGCCCGGTTGTGTCTACAAACAGTAAACGAACGTAAAATGTTTAAATCATCGTTTCCTTGTCTGATAGGCATGAGTTGATGCCGGTTGAGACGTCCGGCATTATTTGCACTCAAAAGATTCAAACATTTGCCGAAAAGGTTAAGCGGCGTCCCTAGTCTCCAAGTTTATGGCATCTTTCCAGGTTGCTGGAGGCGATGAGAAACCATTCAATGGCTTGAATTTAGTTTTTGAGTTAATTTTTCGCTTGGAAAAGTGCAAATCTTTCAATTTCAGGTAATCGTTAAATTTAAGCTTCTCTTAAGATGAAGTTCCTTTTTCTAAACTTATTCGTCCTCAGTATATATATATATATATTTTTAAAATTATCTATCCTACATGTGCGTTGTTATGTAATGGGTATTAGTTGAATAAGAAATCGGAGAACTGAGTTACATTAATCTAAGCGAAAGATATGAATCCGTCTCTTCTCCCAGATATGGACTGAATAACAGGACAGACTGCTTCCTATAACCTTGGTTGACAACCAGATCGCCGTGGAAAGAAACGGCAGTCTACTGCGGGAATATCTTCTGCCTAGTCAGTCATGAATCGAAAGAGACATGATCGCCCAAACATGTATCACGTATGGCACTTAAATGATCCCACAGAATAGCAGGATAGACTGGATTCTATAGACTTGGTTGCCAGAAAGAAACGGCAGTCTACTACTGCTGGAATATCTTTTACCTTGTCAGTCATGAATCGAAAAAGGCATGATCGCCCAAGCGTGTATCATGTATGGCACTTAACTGATCCCACTGAATATCAGGACAGACTGGATTCTATAGTCTTGGTTAGCAGAATGGAACGGCAGTCTACTGTGGGAATATCATCTGTTTAGTCAGTCATGAATCGAAAGGGACATGATCGCCCGAACGTGTATCACGTATGGCACTTAACTGTTCCCACCGAATAGCAGGACAGCCTGGATTCTATAGCCTTGGTTGGCAGAAAGAAACGGCAGTCTACTGCGGGAATATCTTCTTCCTTATGGCACTTAACTAATCATACATGTATGTAATATGTGCGTAGTGTAATCGAATTATGGCACGGAAATCGACAATTAGGGAGACGTCAAGTTAGTAATGAAGTTAGAGGAATCGTACTGTGGCGACATATCTAACTCGTGTCAAACTATACGAAAACATACTTCATGCTTTGTTATTATTAAGATATTTTACGATTAAGAAATTATAGAGAGAATGGAAGACTCATAGATTCACTCAAGTGTTGAAATTATCCAGGTCACGGCAGTGCTGAGGTCAGCAGGAATACTGAGGAGGATGCTGGAGATATGAGGAATCCTGCTGTCATTAAATCCATCTCTAGCAACAGTCATCAAATGCAAGGTGTAAACAAGTACAAGAATAATAAAAAAAAAATAGTATAGCAATCATCCGATGAAAGCGTTTCATCAGTTGGTTCGAGTTCTTGTTGAGGCAATCCAACCGTTTGCCTTCGCATATTCTTCCAACTTGTGAAATTAGAGATAACTGCCGGAGGTAAGAATATTTGCCGCTGTTGTGATAGACACGGGAGAATTCTCCTCTGCCACTGACTGACACCGCCCGTTACCCTTTCTACGGCTTTACTTCTCGATTTGCCATGCTATGCTTCTCGATTTGTCTTGCCTTGACATGCAAATATCGTTAAGTAAATCCGGGGATAAATTAATTAAATCCCTTTCACAGCTCATTTCCGGATAGTTGCTATTAATCAATAAAGGCAATAATCTGTCAAGGATGCGTGCGAGCTTGTGTTGTAGACGGGGCAGAGCGAGACTGAGATGAGGTAATTGAAAGCGGAGTAATAGAGATGAAAAAAAAAAAAAAACTTATTGGTTATTCGTTGTCAAGAGTTGGCTTTTCCAATTCAATGTGATTTGATCCAATATTTTCAGATTCTTAACAATAAAAAATGCACTTCTAATCTCGCAAAAATAGCTTCATTATTGACTATTTTTTCTTTTCATGTTGCAGTAAAAATTCGTAATTATATTAATTTGCGATTTTTTCTTTTTAGTTTCCTTTCTTCCGTAGGGGTCATGCATGATGTTCGCTTGGGCGATTATGTCCCTTTTCGATTCATGATTGATTTGGCAGAACATTTTTCCGCAGTAGGCTGTCATTACTTTCTGTGGTAGACTGGTTGCCAACCAAGACTATAGGACTCTATCCTGCTATGTAAGTCATAGCTTTGACTACTACTTCTATGTGCCGATCATGGTTCTCCACAACTTCCTGAGGTAGTAGGATTTAAACCCAATATTAAGAACACGCTATAGTGCCACACAATTATCAATGACAACGACTGCGTCGCGGAGTGTCGGATATATATGATATTAGCAGACATTTTTAGAGTAATGGTGAACGAGTCAGTTACGCAGACCTTTGACGATTATGTCTCTTTTCGATTCCTGATTGACTTGGCAGAAGATTTTCCCATAGTAGGCTGTCGTTACTTTCTGAGGTAGACTGGTTGCCAACCAAGGCTATAAGACTCAGTGTGTCGTGCTATTTAACCTATAGCTGGGGATAGAAGAGAAGGATTTATACTTTCCTCAGAATTATCTGTACGTAAGTGAATGTAATGAACTCGACTGGAATTCGAACTCTGCTCTAAGACTTCTCATTCCGAGCCGTTATCGATCACACCACTCGCACATCCAAGATTACAGCATCTGCCGATTCCTACCAATTAGTGCCAAGAGAACCTGAAGTGGCGCGAGCCAGAATTAACCCTTTAAGCCTTGCGTTCCTGAACAATTTTAATTCTTCTGTCTGAGCTCCTGAGTCAAAATTCGCAAATAATTTTATATCTAATAAATTAGATACGAAAATAATTACAAGTGTTTACCCACCGTTCACCCGGTGGCTGGGCATTGCGTCATTTTTCTCTACCACGGGAATGCCACTCGTACGCAGCGGGTTACAGAGAGTGAAGGTGCGAGAAAAGATTGGGTAAAAGGGGGACTGAGGAAAGAATAAAAGTTGAACGAGGTTCAAGAAGATAGAAGATGGCGATTGACGTTGAATTTAAATTTTTGAAGATTGTAGTTATCAGGGAAGCAAGGAAAAGGAAAGGAGTTCCACAGGTGGGAAGTGCGAGAAAAATAAACTGTTGGTGTAGAATGGTAGTTACATTTATCTAATTCAACTATAAAAGGTATCTATCTCAGTTTATTAATATCTATCTCAGTCTATTCGTATCTATCTATCTATCTATCTATCTATCTAAGTATATTGATATATATCTATCAGTATATTCATCTCTTTCTCAATATATTCATATCTATCTATCTATCTATCTATCTATCTATCTAAGTATATTGATATCTATCTATCTCAGTATATTCATATCTAAGTATATTGATATATATCTATCAGTATATTCATCTCTTTCTCAAATTATTCATATCTATCTATCTATCTATCTAAGCATATTGATATATATCTATCTCAGTATATTCATATCTATCTATCTATCTATCTATCTATCTATCTATCGAAGTATATTGATATATATCTGTCTCAGTATATTCATCTCTCTCAGTATATTCATATCTATCTATCTAACTATTTTAGTCTGTTCATATCTATTTAGCTGTCTATATATATCTGCATGTATTTATCTAGCAAACTAGCTATCGCATAAAAACAA